AATGATCACCTTCCTCTCCCCTAGGTCCTCCAACCTAAGCCTATCCTTCATCCTTGGGAACTGCCCCTGAATCATCCTCATGCCCCACTCGGACATCTGTCTAAGTGASGTGGCGTCCCTATTTAATAGGATCTGTTCATCCCCCTYGGGATCTGTTTGAGAACTTTGAATGAGGAACGGCCTTCCTAATAAGCCAAAAGCTGAATCAACAACCACCTTTGCCCCTCCAGCACAGTCGGCGTCCAATTTCTCCATCTTCTCATAGATTCCATACTCACTKATGGTACTGTCATGCCACGTGCCAGGGCARTTGAARRYWCCWATSCGRATCCTACCATCCGGTGCAAAGACAAACACTCCATTCACGTAAGTATCTGCCTTCCATCCGTTGAAGAAGACCTCTTGTTTAAGCCAGTCTTCGGAAGACTGGATCTCTGTCTTGAGCCYATCTGCTGCTGCCCAGACGCGTTGTTCTTCAAGTCGTGGATATTTTTCTCCAATTGCTCTAACATACTCATTGATTTCTTGCTCACTTGGAAGACTGACCATGGCAAGTGGATGTTTGTGAAGCACTGAAAGGAGGATCCTCATGGAAAACTTGAGCCATTTGTACATGACTGTTGAAGTGAGACCAAACGCCATTGCCATTCCTCTTGCAACAGATCCTCTAGTCCTGTACCAGAAGAGCACTAGTYCAAGGCAACAAGTAGCGTCGGCCTCCCTTGGCTTTCCCATCTTCTTTCCACTCCTGGTGGGAGCTAGAACAACAATCTCATTGTTCTTGTCGACTGAGTATCTGTTGAAAGCTGGAGCAAACAGCTCAACAAGATCCCTGAAGACCTTGTGGTCTACACCACAGCAGTTGAGGAGTGCTTGGTCATCTCCTGATTGGAACAGGTAGACAAAGGGGGAGTCGGCATATCTACGGATGGCTATTCTAGGTGTTCTTCTGTCCTTTCTGCGTCTCTCCTCATTRGACTTCTGTTTTCTATCCCATTCATTCTTCAAGCGTTGTCTATGCTTGATTGCCCAGTATATGCAAAGGGTCTCGATTACACCCATTGTGTTTGCTGGGAGGCAACGCTTGTCTTTTGTTAAGGGAACAGCTCAAATTTGTGAGGGAGCTTGTGATTTTTTAATTTTTACACGTAGTATTTTCGGTGTTAAAAATTTCGTGTTTTACTTGGTACTCACTTGGTACTCAAAAA